GTTGTTTACAATACAACCGGAGCACATGCCGCTGAGGTGAGGGGTGGGACGTTTAGACGCACACTAGAGGCGGTTTAGCCAATCACAACACACTGGGCTAGCTAACCAATCAGAGCCCATCGCCTATTTCTGAGGGCGGGGCTTCATAAAAGAAGGAAATGATCAGCCCGTTTCTCAGAGAAGGGACAGAGCTGTGTGGAATAAAAGTAAATTATGTGAAAAATAATGCGTTTTTTTTTTTAAACAAAGCATTAACACATGTTAGACTGCACCCCATAAACACAATCAAGCCTAGAAAAAACCCAGTGAACCACCCCTTTAACAAGAGAAGTGGACACTTGCTTTTCAAAAAGTTAAGTTTTCACATGGACAATGATTAAAAAAATTGTGAAATGGGGTATATGTCGAACGCACTGTTGCCAACTCTGGTAAGATAAATAAGCAACTGCAGCTTAAAAAACAAGCCCAATATTTTTTTGATGATTTATTATCATCAATATTGTTTATTATCAATTATTTATTACCAATAAATGAGCCTGCAACATATTAAACTGAAACCACTCTTTTATCTGAAAAGCAAAAACAGAAGTTTTTACAAAAATCAGCAAACTGCAACAAAGGGGGAACAAAACTCATCTCCAATCACCTGTGAGCAGAATAGAATTGGAGAGATGGAGAAGGAGAAAAACACAAGAGCTTCAAAGGGAAGCTGTAACATAGCCACCTATTTATAGCCTACTAAAATATAGGCTATTCGAACCAAATGTATTTACTCTTAGTATTAGTATAGGACAACTTGTTTTTTATTACAGCCCGTGATAATTAATACATTACAAAAACATAGCAAAAATTAAAAAATTAGGCTAAAAGAAAGTCATCCCACCCCTCTACGTCTACTTCTATCATCGCTTGAATTACAGCATAATGTGCCTTCTTTTTGAACGTGATTTTTTTCCAATGAGGGGGAGGAACATTTGGCAAATTATGCTGCAGCACTTTTATATTATTGCACTGGTTGGCTATTAACTGTGAGCAGACAGAGTATCAATCAATGCATTGGAGGATACGGCGAACATAAAGAAACAAAGTTGCTTGTCAGATTTCCCTAACAAGCAACCATATTTTTTTAAATAAGCCCAAAAAACCGCAACATGGGATTTTTTCATGCAACTTTACAAAAAAAGAAAAGCTTGTCAGAGAAAGTGTTAACAGCCATATGAACTAATGGCGATATCTAAGGAATTTTAAGGTAATCAGCTAACCTAGCTAGTTGTTTTTATTGTTGCCATTTTTACTCAATTTTAATATCTAATGGCGCTTTTCCACTGCATGGTATGGCACGGTACGGCTCGGTACGGTTCACTTTTGGGGGGTTTTCCACTGGGTACAGTACCTGGTACTTTTTTTAATACAACCTCGGTTGAGGTTCCAAGTGAACCGCACCGTTACCAAAACGTGACGTGTAAACTCTGCTGATCACGGATTGGCCGGAGAGAATCGTCACTACCTGCGTCACTGAACTTGCGACACAAACACAAAAGAACCGCTAGATTTAAATCAGCACAGCCAACCGAGCCGAGTCGTACCACGCAGTGGAAAAGTGCCACAAATGTTAGTGAAAAGAATAAAAATAAAAAAAACTTTTGGATATCAGTCTGCATATGTGATGGACATTGGTTATGACAATCTTTGGTATCTCCTTTGAAGACATCTCGAGTAAAACAGCTCCATATTTAACAATGCACATACAACTCTTGAACCGGAAGCGATGAGACCTGTTTTACAGAATACGAAAGTCTGTTGCGCATAACCCCCATTGAAGAGACACTATGATGGGCTCTTTTGGCCATTAACATCTTTTTTATATATTGTATAAAATGATAATATTATAAATACATTTATTCATACAATAAGTAAATGATAATCAGTCACCTCACTTAAACAAATCTTGCACAATTCCTGTATGACAAAATTGAATTAATTTGAACTCCATTTGCTTCTTTAATCAATGTCTCTATAGTCTTCCTGTAGGTCAAATAAAATGATGTTGGTTTATTATTAAACGGCAGCAATGAAGAAGGCGCCCATTGTGTTCAACCTAGATCCAGCGTTTTATGCAGCTCAGGTTACAGGAAGAGCGCAGAACGCCAAGCTAAACAAGGATACAGTAACTAGAGTAGAGAACAAGGACCCTGTTCAAATAACTGAGAGGGAACGAGTGAGAAAAAGACCAACAGAAAGAGAGAATGAAAGATAGTGAGTCAAGCAAAAAAAAGTCTAATTGGTTCTCTCACCTAGGCAACCTGATCTCAAAACACAGATGCCTCTTCTAAGAGTTCAAGACTCGCTACAAACCACAAGCAGTAAACTAGTAGACTTTTATGAATCATTTGCATACATGATGTTCAACTTCAGCCATTTTAGCTGTAGATTTACAAAACCAAATTGCGCAGTTAAAATGGATGGGGCCTGCAGTAAAGTAAATGAGGGACAAAGTGACTGCTGTGCTGCTCGTTTTGCATAATGCAAAATATCTTTGGCAGTGTGGTCTCTGCAAACGAATATTTTTTTAAGTTCTGAAAGAGGCTTTCAAAATTGGATTTGATTAATTCTTGTTTAGTAGATTTTCCTTGACACCAATGTGTTGAAAGTACAGCTGTAATGTCCCAGATAAGAGCCCTGTTGTGTTTCCATGATAATGACGCCTTTATTGTTCACATTAGAATGGATCTCTGCACGTCAGTGTTTTGACATTCCATGCTCCCAGTAGGAGCTTCTTTTTTGAATTCTGTTTTCTTCAATCTGTTCTTCACCCAAGTGCTGCTACATGCTGTGAGAGACCTGAACCTGGGTGTGTACATCAGGTACCGTCTCGAAGGCTCACTGTTCGACCTTCGCCGCCTGGCCGCCAAAACAAAGACACTGGAGAGGCTCTTCACAGAAGCTCTCTTTGCAGACGGCGCATCAAGAGAATCATCTACAGACCATCATAGACAGATTCTCCGTAGCAACAAATCTGTTTGGCTTAACTATCAGCCTCAGTAAGACAGAAGTTCTATATCAGCCTGCACCAGGAAGAGCAGCAGACCAGCCATGCATCACCATCGATGGCACCCAGCTCTCAAATGTTACCACCTTCAAGTACCTGGGCAGCACAATCTCCAACGACACATCCCTGGACCAGGAGATCAATACCAGAGTCCAAAAGGCCAGTCAAGTTCTACAACGTAAGAACTCAAGTTCTAAGCGCTCCAAAGTTCTACAACACAGCGGCATTCGCCTCTCCACAAAGCTCAAAGTATACAGAGCAGTGGTCCTCACCTCACTTCTGTACGGCTGCGAAACATGGACGCTCTACTGGAGACAGATCAAACAGTTGGAGCAGTTCCACCATCGCTCACTCCGGTCAATCATGACGATCCGCTGGCAGGACAAAGTCACCAACCAAGATGTCCTGGACAGAGCTGGCTCAACTAGCATTGAATCCATGATTCTGAAAATGCAGCTCCGATGATCTGGCCACGTCATCCGCATGGACCCGCAGAGGATGCCAAAGCAGGTGTTCTTTGGAGAGTTGGCCACAGGGTCCAGACACCAAGAGCGCCCAAAGAAAAGATTCAAAGATAACCTCAAGTCACATCTAAAATGGGCCAACCTGAACCCAAAGCAGCTGGAGCTTGCCACCTGACAGAGCCAGTTGGCATGCCCGAATTAATAAAGCAGCCACCGCATTTGAAGAGGATCGTCACCATCATATTGCAGCTGCAAGAGAACGCAGACACAGAGCTGCCGCTGCCCCTGCTCCAACTACTGGTGAACCTTGCCCCCTCTGCAACCGCCTCTGTGCTTCTGCCTTTGGGCTTCGAAGACACATGAGGATCCCCAGATGACTGCACAAAGCCTTGATCGTCATTCTAGACCACCGAGAGACTACCTCACTGAGAATGGATCTCTAAGCTTCAGGTAAACTGCTCTAACATGCTGTCAGGGAAAGAGAAAAACACTGGGTCAGACATTTATTTGTGCAGTATATTAAGTGGATGGTGTAGCCTGGTAAAGATCAAAAGTTCAAAACTAAAAGACTGCAGTATCAAATTATGCCACAGACGATCCTCGTTCCCACACCTTCTGGCTAATAAATTTACAAGAATTTCCCATGACTTTTACAATAATTTGCAATGGCTGGATAATGATTTTATTTATTTGTTTGTTTATTTATTCATAGCTGAAGAAATACTTTAAAACAGAGAATAAATGGGAAAAAAATGCAGGCCTGCAAGAACGTCCCATTCCGATTCTTTGGTTCCTTCACATGACCGGGAAAAAAAACAATTACTACCAGAACCAAATACAGTGAACTCTGCTGGTCCAGTTATTCATCTTACCTCTCGGTCAGTGCTTTGCTCTGGTTGTCCCGTGCAGCTTGCAGGTCCTTCTCGAGTCGCTTCTTTTCAGACTCGATCTTCTCTGCCTCGCTGGGTGCGCGCTTGCACGGTGTTACATACTGCAGTTCCTTTAGCAGCTCTTCCTTCTCATTGATGAGGATCAGGCGATCTCTCTCCGGGTCCAGAAGGCCTGGCCACGCCTCGCTATCCAGCTTGGCAATCTGGACCTCAATATTTGCAATCCTGATGGCAGCAAAATGAATAAAGCAATGTAAAAAAAAGTTAAGCATTAAACTATTGTCATAGACAAACATAGCAATTGGTTGATTTCAAAATCAATTTACAGCCTATTCAGCTTTATATGTGTGTGTATATACATGTGTGTGTGTGTGTACAGGTCAAAAGTTTGGAATAATTAAGATTTTGTAAATGTTTCTGAATTAAGTCTCTTATGCGCACTGATGCTGCATTATTTAATTTAATATACAGTAAAACAGTAGTTTTCTATTTAATATAATTTAAAATATAATTTATTCCTGTGATGGCAAAGCTGAATTTTCAGCAGCCATTACTCCAGTCTTTACGGTCACATGATCCTTCCAGGGTTTTTACAGACATGAACAAGTTAAATTTAAGACTTTTTAAGACCTTTTTAATACCACCTTATCAATGTTGCATTTGTATATGGTAATTTTTGGAGGAAAAAAAAGGCACTCTTCCGTGTGAAATTGATTAACTATAAGAAGTGGTATAAATATACACATTTTCTGCCCCCATGTCTTGAATTTGTGATCATTCTGAATGTATTTTAATAGACTGAATCATGCAGTGAAAGAGCGCACTGTAAATGCGCACGCGCACTACACTTCACGTAATGCGTGCACTCTGTAGGTGTTTTGAATGTTTCTTTGCGTTGTGAGAATATTGAGCAAAATAGTTCACTTGTCATGGTGTTACTTAACTATATAATGTTATGAATAAACTAAACATTCTGAATTTTTACCTCAGTGTGTTTCTTCTGAGTTTATGTGTGCTGTTACGCTCATTTGTTAAGAAGACTCTCACTAAGAGACAAACAGAGTGAGCCTCAGCGCGACCTTGTATTCTGTATTCTGCTAACTTACTGCAATTCTCTCTGATGAACTTACCGCAGGGAAGAAAAAATCTTCGGTCCGTCCAATGATTGTAAACAGTCATTAGGTGCATCAGACTTAAGATATTTTAGCGGTAATGTGACCAAAAATATTTAAGACCCATCGAATCCGAATTTAAGACATTTTAAGACTTTTTAAGGCCTTATATTAGGAAAACGTTATTTAAGACATTTTAAGACTTTAAGGACCCGCGGACACCCTGTAGAAATCATTCTAATATTGTGATTTGGTGATCAATTATTGGTTGTCATTATTATCCATCCTGAAACCAGTTTTTGATGCTTCCCAGTCGGCACATGACGACCTTCAACGTTGAAATATGGTTGAAATAAGGTCAGTTGTTGTTTTAACGTTGAAACAACTTTGATACAACGTTTAATGCTGAACGGTTGAAAACCAGCCGGCACATGACCAACCTTCAACGTTGAAATATGGTTGAAATAATGACAGTTGTTGTTGTTTCAATGTTGAAACACCGTTGAAAAATGTTTAATGCTAAATGGTTGAAAAAGGTTAACAAAAACACTTGTAAATCAATGTTAATTTTTTTTTACAAGATCTGTATGTTGAATCAACTTAATGTCTTCAACAGCATACAAACTAAATTTCTGCCTTTTAAATTATTAATATTAAATTATTTAAAGGGGTCATATGACGTTGCTAAAAAGAAAATTATTTTGTGTATTTGGTGTAATGAAATGTGTTTATGCGGTTTAAGGTTCAAAAAACACATTATTTTCCACATACTGTACATTATTGTTTCTCCTCTATGCCCCGCCTTTCTGAAACGCGTCGATTTTTACAAAGCTCATCG